TTTATTAAATAAATATTTCGTTCTTTAAACATGTTTATAATTATTATAAAGGAGCATTTGTTAACATAGGCACTTGAGCAGTTATTTTTTTGTAATTTAAATGTATAAACAAAAGATGTATAGAAACGTCCAGCAACTAAAGTCCATGTTAATGTACTAATCGAAAAGCAATGGACTTAAATAAACTTTAAACAATGATTATATGAAATTACTTTTGGTATATATACCGTGTTTCAACAAAACATTGACTTTGGTAAATTAAGACATTTTATCGTTTTAGAAACAATGCAAATGAGTTTAAGTGAGATAAAAATATGTTTAAAAACGTATTTTTTAAATTGCTTTTCCATGCAATATGTATGAAATGATAAATCAAGTTACTGCTCAAAACGTCTACAAATTTAGTAATAAGGTTGCTTAGCGCAAATTTATTAACATTATCTTATATTTAAACACTCAATATTATCATTAAACTGATTATATTAGATTATGTATAATGGCCTTGCCTAATTAAAGTTTGATAGCTATGTCTATTGTGCTTAACAATAGATCCAGAACATTTCAAATTGTAAGTATATTTTCTAACTTGAACCATTTTTAAAGTTATTGTATCAAATTGGCAATGGTCTCACGTTTTGACAATTGACAATTTAAAATGTTAAACTGTATTCCTAGAAATTAACTCGTGCTTTTTAATTTAGCGTTTTTCGCGATGGATACGTTTTCCGCTTATTTTTTGTAACCACGAACAAGTTGTATGTAACAAATCCGCGAACATTTGTAGCTCCAACCACATAGATTTCGCAAACGGCCCCAAGTCATATCGGCCCCAAGTCAAATCGGCCCCAAAATTAGTCAAATCGGCCTCAAAATTAGTCAAATCGGCCACACAACAATTTCAAAAAGTCGAATCGGCCCAAAACTAGTCAAATCGGCCCAAAACTAGTCAAATCGGCCTCAAAACTAGTCAAATCGGCCCTATAGTTATTTTTGTGACTAACAGCTATAAATACTTAAAAATAATGATGAATTAATTGCCATCGCAAAATAAATAAAAAATAAAATTTTATTTCTAAATTCAAATTTTTAAAAAAAGAATTTTTTGATTTAAATTATAGTTTATTGATAAAAAATAAATAGAGATGCAATGCTACTGGATTAACGAGTGCGTGATGCAATTAACGGTAATTAAGTGTGAACAAAGTGCTACCTGATTAAACGTGACGGTACCGACTGAGCTATCCGACCGCATACACATTTTCTCCCCTATATGGTGAACAGTTCTGAACCGTGACATATATAAGCGTAAATTCTCAAACTGTCCCTTTTATATATATATATACAAAAAATGAAAACAAGTGCCGGAAAAAAGTCACATATAAATAAAACAAAAAACACAGTCCATGAGTTACCTTATTTAATTATTTGCCAACCGGTTTCTCTTATGATCATCAGGGCAAATGTGACGTCGTCGCATAGTAACGACGACGTTTTTGTGTACACATGTGTACGCATAATCTAAAAATAGTAACGTCATTATATAGTATTAAGTTTTGGATTAAAAACATCAATAAAATAGCGTTCTTTAGATAACCTAGCTGAAACGTTTTTACTGTGAAAGGGCTTGGTTCACTAACCCCATAAAAGTGCCCTAAAATTTTGAAAAAATAAAATAGCTTAACCAAATCAAATGTGTTTGTTTTTATGTAGACCTATCCTAAACCTGTACAAATATGTAGCCCATTAAGATTTTGTGATGAATTTTTCCAACAAAAATATCACTTTCACACACCCTGGTTTTAACTAAACTGGCTTTTTTGTGATTTTTTTGCATGTTTTATTCTAAAAATAGGTATGAGCCACCACATGTGCCAATTTATCACTTGGCATCAGTGTTCAATAAATAAAAACAAACATGAAAATGTATGTTTGCAAGTGGCACACGTGGTGGCTCATATCTAAATTTGAACTTAAGGCACAATCATAATTGAAAAAATCATGTTTAAAAATTCAATTTCAAATAAAACAATTATGTCATAACATGTTGTATCAATAAATAAATTACAAATATTTATAATAGATAATCATTTCAGCAATGTCTGTTGTTGAGAAACTATTAGACTTAATGTTTTATCTGTTAAATATAATTTTCCAACAACAAGGACGAAACGATATTTTCGAAACGGTTTGAGTACGAATACCGCCGTTGCCAACGATAAATGTTTGTAAACAACGACACCACTACAAACAAGGTAGAAATAAATGTTTATTATATTCTTACCCCAAAATAAATATTTCACATTATTAAACATAGATCTATATATATTTTGAATACTGTATACTTTATTTGAGAATAGTCATATTCTTCTAAATTAAATAAATAAACGATCGGCTAGCAGCAGCGGTGCAATCAAGTGTAGAGATCCAAACTTGAATGGCTTCAATCTTAAATGGATATGTATGTGAACAAATTTTGTTGAAAATGAATTTACAATGTAATTAAGTTATGAAAAATATGAAAACGGTATTTGAAATATGTGCTATAAATGAATATTTAAACAATAAACAGAGCCGTCTGCAGGTAATTCTATTTTTAGCTCATGCGTGCGATCGATATCAAATACTTGATTACTTAGCGCTCAATTTATAAATTCCGCTGTGGCGCAGTGGATGAGACTTCTGCTTTTGACGGGAGCGGCCCGAGTTCGAATCCCACTACTGTTGAATTTTTTTTATTAGTTTTTTTTTCTTACAGATATGGTCAAGCATTACATCTGCACAATTTGCAATAGAAAAGCAAATCGTCGAGACAGAAGACCTGTACCGGCAAATATTCAGAAATATTTAAAGAAAAATCTGTCAATTACTTGCACAATCGATAGTGTTGTGTGTTCTGGATGCAGAATCAAATTTTATAGAAAACTTAGAAAACCAAAAGAATCAGGTCCCGTACCGATTGATGAGAGGGGTGATGCTGGCGATGCACTCGTTCCGCCGTCCACAAACGAACGATTCACTAGTCCTCCATCGGTAAGTGCACGCGATTACAACCATAATATATTTAAGAAATTAATAATAATCAATAAGTAACATTACATGGTATAAATGCGTTGTTTTAATGTTGTATTATCTGTAACCTAAATAGATATTTAACATGGACTGTTAGGCACACGTTCCACAATATATAACATAGGTAGCTTAAATCATCACATTTACTTTGTGTTTGAGTTTGAAATAGTTTTTTGTCAAATGGGATTGCAGTATTTTAATTGTTAAATATGAAAATGAGATGTATATGCTTAATTCAAAATAAAATATATGTTCTGTTCTGTTCAGTATTTTAAATGAATCGTAACACATTTACTTTGGTAATCAGCAAACTGTGAATCAATGTAGTAAATCGACTGTTTATAAAAATATTTTAATTTGAATTGAAATGAATATAATTAATTTAAAAACACCAAGTTCGTTAAAAGTTTATTAGTACACAATTAAATTGGTCACGCGGCCAAACGTGTTCATTACTACGTATTCACAAATCAGTCGAGCGACTCTTGGTAAAATTAAGTTTTAAAATGCTCAACACTTACTTATACTTAAAACTTCTTAGGACATTATTATTATTATGACCATTTCTTACATTACAGGTAATGCTGAAAATCTCTTCCATAAGCAGAAGCCACAGCCGCTGTTTCGTGTGCAAAAGGCCTGGACCAAAGTTGGTGTGCCTTCCAGCAGAAGGGCGCTTTACAGTCTTCCTTGACCACAACATATTAGTACCAGCAGACGCAAGGTGTTGTCCAGTCCATATTTCTGATGGGACTCTGACTCAAGACTCTTTTTCAAACATACAGACGCTGACAAGTACCTCTTTGCTTAATCGATCTTCAATATGTAATATACTTCAAAAAATGAGAAACGCTTGCCTAAATCAGAATACATCACTTAATTTTGATGCATTAGACGAACGTGATTATCCATCTCTTACTGGGCTTACCAAACCACAGTTTGATGATTTTTGCAGTCATTTGCTTCAACACATTAAAACAACGCCTAAAAGGTCTCCAAGAACAACCGTTGGACTTTTTCTTGTTAAGCTTTACTCTGGAATGTCCAATAAACTCCTGTCTACAATATTTGGCTTAAGCAAGTCAAGCGTTCGCCGCGCAATTGAGACCGTTCGTCTAATATCAATGAGAACAGTTGTTCCGATATATCTTGGCATTGAAACTGTCCCAAGGTCAACCCTCATTCAGAACCACACACGCCAACTTGCAAAGACACTTTTCAACGCTGATGACAACCAACTGATCCTTGTTCTTGACGGAACATATATTTATATCAATAAGTCAAATAACTTCAAGTTCCAGAGGCGTTCATTTAGCATGCACAAAGGCCGGCCATTGGTTAAACCTATGGTTGTTGTTACAACAACGGGTCACTTTGTAACTATAGTTGGCCCTTACCTTGCAGATGGCAAAAACAACGATGCGGCTATACTGAACCATATGCTACGTGCCAATATTCAAAACTTCCGGGAGTTTTTACAGGAAGGAGATATTCTGGTAGTTGATCGTGGCTTCCGGGATTCGCTGACTCTCCTCGCTGACCTTGGAATCAACGCTGAAATGCCTGCCTTGATCAGCAAAGGACAGAAGCAGCTATCGACGAAGGAAGCTAACTCCAGTCGGCTAGTTACAAAAGTATGTTTAAAGGCACATCGTCCATCATAAATACATATTTTATAAGTTATAATAATGCTTTAATAATGAATTTAGAGTATGTTTCAATTAGATAATTTACAACTTAAGAAAATAGCGCTGAATGTGTTGTAATATATCGTAAAGTAGCATAATATATACAAAGTAGTATTTTGACTTCCGTACAAAAACTTATCCACTATGTAATTAAACCAATTGTCAACTGTGTTGGAGTAGCAAAAATCATTGTTTGTGTATAAAGCAAATGAGTATTTTATGGAAAATGTAACATGGTACTTTTTTTTAGGAATAAATTGATAGCATGAATTGATGGGCCTTTAATATATTTAATCGGGTTTCGTAGAATATAAATATTTGTTTAGGCAAATGAAAAACATTTGATGCAGTAACCATATGCTACGTTTTTTTTAAAATTAGTCTGCTTTAATAAAGCTAAAATGTAAATAATACAATAACTTATAAATAATATTCAAAACATTTTGTTTTCTTAAAAAAGCCAGGGTGAAAATGGTTATTATCATATCTAATAGGATACAAAAAGGTGTTACTCATGATTTATGCGTACATCAGCTTTTTTTTCAAAATAAAGTTTCTCAGCTGTATATTGCTTAGTACGTATTTACGTTTTTTGGACGATTCATTGTATCAAATTATCATTATTAAAAAATGAATAATACAAATAATCATGTCATCAAAATTAAACAGTGTCTTTCTTAAAGAGTTGGACGAAATATATAAGTTATGTTCATAGAAGAAAAGTATTGACCTAGTGCTTGAACTAACGACCCATAGTTTCAAAAATGACAGTATTTCTAGCCTATTTAGATACTATTCAAATTGAGTTTATGTATAAAGGTTGTTCTACCTTAAAACTTAAATGAATATAGTGTAACGTTTGTGTTTATTTGTAATTATACCATTTCTAATTTTCAGGTACGATGGGTTGTTGAATCGGCCAACGCTCGAATCAAACGGTTCAAAATGCTTGCAACAGTACTTCCATGCAGCCAGGTGCCCTTCATTGGAGACTTTGTTAGGATTGTATGTGCTATATGCAATAAATATCTTCCTGCACTGAGTTCACCGTCTCAGACAGAGGCAGATTCGCAAGTTGCCCAACAAATGTTGTTGTTGGCTGAACGAGCCAATACATTACAAGAGTATGTACAAGAGTGGTCTCGAACGGAAGTTAAAAGTATGGAAGTCGGTTGAGGATGTACCGTTTCCGCGACTGTCAGAGGAAAATCTACACGACCTGACGCTTGGTGTATATCAGTTGAAGCTTGCGTCCAGTTACATCCAGGAGCATCTCACTGGTGCATATGACATACATGTCCATGTAGATGACACGTCACTACTGACAGTACGGTTGCAGAGTCGTCACACAAGCAGCAGACGATATCTCATGTGGATACGGTCCAGTGATACGGCAGTAGAGGCTTGGTACTGCCAGTGCCGTGCTGGGGCACGAGTTGTTGGAATGTGCGCGCATGTTTCGGCCATCGTCTGGTATCTTGCTTTTGCTAGGCATCAAGAAAGCACGCGGTACGGTGTAAGGGACTGGGGTAGTCATCTAGAAGATGCCGCTACATTCCAAATCGACTCCAGTTCTGACAGTGATTAAACATTTGCAAATAATGAATACAAGAGACAACTGACTTTTACAATTGTAAAATTATAAATGATTCTTTATCTTTTATCATTTTTCGGCTTTTTAAACTGTTAAGATAATCGACAATCAGTAACTTAATCAATAAGAATATTTGGTAATTATAATACAATATAAAATGTTGTAATTATTATTCCTGTAGGTACATTTATTGACTTTGTAAAGAACTTTTTTTGCCAGACAGTCAATAGCTTCAGTTACTCATTTAATTATGACAAATTAAAATAATTATACACAGTGTAAGATGAAGGTATCAAAATGGGTATTGAACTGCGTCACTCGCTGATGAATAATCAAAATATTACTGCGAGCTGTACAATCAGTGCGGATGTGCGTGAACAACTTTTTTTTGGTTATAGAATTAAACAAAAAAGATTATTTTTTCGTCTGAGTGATAATTGGAACATATTTTCAATCAACATGATCAAATTCAAAATATTCTCCATCGCCAGTCCGGCCATGAAAATATATAGAAGCTTATCATATTTCCTGAAAATATTTTCTAATTTCACTCAAACGAAAAAATGTCCTCTAATTATATAGCTGTATAAAGAAGGTAAATAAATACATGTAATAAAAATGGCGGAGACTGTTTTTGAAAAAAAAAAATGAAATAAACATGTACAAACTCAAAAAGAAAAGTGAAATTGAAAATACATGATTTTTTTGAAAAAAATTCACTACTTTTGTTATTGCTTTAATTATCGTCAGATAATAGGTCCGAAATGAAACGAGCTTCATTTACATAATATGTGTAATGTTAAAATTCTAAAAAGTAATATAAATAGGTATTTATGTTTATAGTTTCTATAATTAAGAATCTACATTTTATTTCTCAGTTATCTAAAATAAAAAAAATTCAAACGGCGCTATGAAACGTCAAAATTTGCGGATTATTTTCCCGCGTCGATGACGTCGCGCTAACAATGTACATAATACGTACATGTTTCTCAGGCTTAGAAACAACGTCATATATGATAATAATGAAATAAAAATAGCTGATTTTAAAATAAGATTGTTCAAATCTGAATTACTGTAAGTTTCAACACTTTTCGAGGTTGGGCCAAATTTGATGGTTAGTGAACCAAGCCCTTTATAAAATGGGAAAATACAAAATTTCGGGTCTTTTTTAGAGCATTTATCTAAATGCTCACTTAAAGGTAATTGTCTGGTTGATGGGTCTCTTATCTGCTGAGCATGAACAGTTTTTCTGTTTCTGAGTTTGTCACCTGTTTGGCCTATGTAAAATTCTTTGCAGCCGTTGCAAACTAAAACATATAAAACATTTTCAACAGTACAGTCCATATTTTCTTTTGTATGAAATATTTTATTCTGAAGTTTTAAAGAATATCCTTCTATCAAATATATATATATAACAAAAACATGTAAAAACCTTTTGCATAATTATGTAAATATAACTGTTTGAATTTATTATAACATGATTTCTTGGTGCATGCATTATAATAAATAGACATGCATATGTATGTTGTGATATTCGTTGTGATGATGTGTGATAAGCTCCAGTCAGAAATAAAGTATATATATTCTGTTCTATCATGATTATTTTGTCCGAAAAATACTAATTTATAGTGATATCCATCCAATTAAAGAGTGAGACGTTTAATCAAGTAGCATGTTGTTCACACTTGAGTGCTTCAAATTAGCTGTTTATTAGTTACACGTGTGAAAAACCTCATATGCCGCTTACAGTTAAAAATTTATCATGTTTCATATGTTTATAGTACATTTAAACGTTATACTCAGACAATACATTTGATTATTATATATTTTGTTCTTGTTTTCTTTGCAATCCATGGCTTCTCATTTGGTATTCCCATCCAAACATGACAATTGTTTGTTTTTTTATCAATATGGATGCAGCATTTAAAAAAAAGAAAATGAAAAATGAATACAGTAAAGTTAATAAAAAAAAGGAAATGGGGCCGATCTGACTTGAGGCCGATTTCATTTGAGGCCGATTTGACTATTTTGGGGCCGATTCGACTTTGGGCCGATCTGACTTGGGGCCGATTTGACTGTAAATCATTTCATCATGAAGTAATCTGATGAAGTATACATAACTTTAACCTTTGGTTAACAGATATACATTTCAACTTAAGAGTTCCGTATACATTGTGTTGATATTAAATAAAATCATATAATACATGTTACTTACAGTTTGCATACTCTGAAGGTCATTTTACTCGCTAAAAAGGAAGGTGGTATTGTTTGTTACAAGTACATTGTAAATTATACCAATACGGATACACACTTTCTGTTTATTATTCAAGGGTTTATGGTCTTATGTTTAGGCAATTAACAATCTAATACATTAAACTAGTATATGAAAAAGGCAAAACTAAATCATATAAACTTTAGAAAATGAATGATGCATATAAATAACAATATTTGTCAATTGAAGATACATCATAACTTACTAAGCAATTTGTTGAAATATATTAAAATGTAAAATGAATATGAGTCATGATCATGACGAAGTAGCATTGCCCGTTGTCAAATGTTGGCAAAATATTTGATGGCGGTCAGTAAATTGACCTTGATTATACAGGACGATAACAAAAGACGGAAGTGTAGCTTAACTGCAATATGTGTTCAAATGGCAGCACATCTCAAAATCGTCCAAAAATCTTTCTTGGCAAAATACCGATGGATCTTCCCAAACGGCCATATTGTGGTGGATAAACCAGTTATTTCCAATAACATTTGAATAAAAAGAAACTGTTGATTTAGTTACATTATTACAAAGAAAACATATATTAAAACTTTATTTAATGCATTTATGAACGATGTTGTTAAAACAATACAACTTTAATCTATCACATCAAAAGTGAAAGTCCAATAAAATGATCTTGTATGGTAGCTTTAAGTCTGTGTTATCTACCTTTGACCTAAGGTATGCTTAAATATGATAACATTTAATCATCTACAAGTTACGGTACACAATATATAATTACATTAACTATGATTCTATACCATTCGTCAAGATGCATAAGCAATCGTAGAAATACTGTTTATCGAAGTTTTGTTTGTATCCCCAACAGTATGATGATTATGCAAATCCTTTATTAAAAATCAAAGAAAGATATCTATAAAATGCTATATGGAATAAGAGCTTATATAATTTCATGTTTATATACATATTTGTAGAAGAAAGCAGTATCACATACCAGTAATAAAACAGTCCGTGTGAAATCATTCAAAATTATATACGTGCAAGTTAACAGTGCTTTTGTAGAAGATATAGAAATGGGAATGTTCAGTTAAAAGGAAGAAACATGGCAACAAGCATTGGATTGTTTTTTATCATAGACACTAAAAATACCAAAGCGTTACCTGTTTTATCTACCAAACAAATTAATGAAGTATTCATGATAGTTAACAAATTCCTCAGCGTGTTTACAATGATTTAACAAATTTCAATGAATATTTATTTTAACAAAATAATGCTTCCGACCATGTTAGTTATTTATGAGATGAAATAGAGAATGGCAAGATGTAAATTTATATGGACTTCTTTTACCTGTTTGCTCACTATTTACCCTTGCATGATAATGTTGCTTTAATTGTTACAGGGGTATTTCAAAATTAGAAATAAATCATTACATTATACATGTATTAGCAAATTGCATTTAGGGGGTATAAAATGGCATTACTAGCTCGAACTGCTAGTTGTCTCATAGCAAAATTATGTACAATATCAGATTTGCTATTGAACTGAAATTTCGACTATGCAAATTTCATATATGGTACATCGTATAATATTTCAATGCCTCCGAGGGGATCACGCCTTTTCAAGAGGTTTTTAAATTATAATAGCAGGAACAACTCTGATCACACACGATAAGTGACGCTGATAATACCGGTTATAAGATCATCCATAGCTATAACAAAACAATTTGTTTGCCTTTGTTTCAAATTGTGACATAAACGTTAACCTTAAAAAGATAATAACTTATTTATAAAAAAAAGTTCAATCACGTAAGAACAATTCTGTCAGTTTACTGATTATGAAATTTAAAAGTTTGTTAACATGTTTAAGATCAATATAAAAGCACAAATGTGATTTGTATTGATAAAATGTTATCGAAGTATTTAAATTCACAAACTCTCAGATTATTACCAGGTATGTGTCATTATAAATAATAAAAATTACTGTCAAAAGATTAACCTTCATTTCTTTTTGGTAACATTATCCTACAATATCACGGTTCCTTGATTCTCTAAGATTATAATTAGGTATTTATCATTATAAATAATAACTAGAAATGTGTCCATAGGACACGGGTGCCCCCACCGCGCCACTGTTCTGGCGATCTTTTTACTAAGTCAAGGGAAATAACTCTACAAATACTGGATAAATCCACAAGCGAAACCCCAGGTGCAAATCTAAAATATGCTGAGCAACCTGCCCATAAGATTTAATAACTATGTAAAATCCTTTTTGAGAAACTTGCGACTTAAGTTGAAAATTGCAAAAATTTTCTAAGTGAAGGGCAATAACTCTAAAAATACTTAATAAATCCAGACGAAAATACCTGGTGCACAACTGCACATGCTGATCAATATTCCTGTAAAGTTTCATGACTCTAGGTCAAATACATTTTGAGTTACGTGCGACACATGTTGAAAATTGCCAAATTTTACTAACTCAAGGGCAATAACTCTGAAAATACTAAGAATATCCACACGAAAATACCCAGGTGCACAACTACACATGCTGATCAACATTCCTGTAAAGTTTCATGACTCTAGGTCAAATACTTTTTGAGTTACATGCGACACAAGTTGAAAATTGCCAAATTTTACTAACTCAAGGGCAATAACTCTGAAAATACTAAGAATATCCACACGAAAATACCCAGGTGCACAACTACACATGCTGATCAAACATTCCTGTAAAGTTTCATGACTCTAGGTCAAATACTTTTTGAGTT